GGTGTAGCTGAGAGGGAGAGTGTTGCAGCCGCCGAGCGCTCAGAGACGGCAAATGAAACGCACCGATCCACCAAATTAGCCGCGGCGCACCGTCCGTGGGTGTCTCTGCGGTGTTTGTGGCACATTTTGGGCACTGGACCGCGGTCTGCGCGGGCGGCGGCGTCCGAGCCAATCTGGGGCGGCTTCAGAGCGCGCCCCGTCACCTGCCCGTTCCTGGGACGGCGCCGCGGCGGAAGGGCGTCGGTGGCAGTCGGCGCGGACCCCCAGTCGGTCATCAGAGAGACGACCGACCCGGCGCCTCTGAGGGCTTCATGGAATTCATCAGCGGCCATAGGACGACGACCGAAGGAGTTCCGGCAGGCACTGAGCTGCACCGCACCGGACTGACGACCAGCCGCGTCCAGCCGTGCAATTTGCAAACAATCAACGGAATTGCAAGTGTGGGAAGACCGAACACTGGTCAATGCTGACCATGTTTTCACTTTTTATTATTGGGCCATTGAAGAAATCCCACCCAACAAAAAGGAGTGGTAATGGAGTTCATGTACGTATAATTCGAACAAGTATAACATCGCCGCTATTTCGGGGAGCGGCACGCTATTTCCCGTGATAGGGCATCCGTGTCATGGTGCTCGATCGTATACGATCTAAAACTACATAGCGACCGTCTAAATTATGCTGGAGGTTAAGTGCACTGAACGAAATATCACATGTTGCTGGGAAATTCAGGCCGACATTTAAACAGTTCATACTATATAGATAGCATATAACATCTTCTATTGTCATATGCATTATAGAGCATATAGCACCCGTCGATCACCAGATATATTGGTAATGCGTCTATGATGACTCTCTTGGTTTGCAATGAACCGGCTATAAGTGTTTCGGAAAAGCGATGACATGGAAAGCGAATAAGGAAAATGGAACGCCGTTGAAAGCCAAAGCCGCACTGAACAGTGTGTTCGAAATGCACTGGTGCTCGCTAAAAGGTTAGCGATCGGTTTTCGCCGCCTTAGACCGCCTCTGGTCATGCCCGTACCCAACAACATTAGCTGTACCCATTCACTACAACACAAACACGAGTTCGTACATGGATCAACGGTCCACCCCCCGCGGTGTAGCTACACACCATAACATTCCAGCCGTGCATGTATGAGCCATACCTTTCCCCTACTTTGGGATCCCCCGAGCTTACTACGTAATGCTAACATCAGTGTCATAGTTGCATGCGAGTATTCCAACCAGTATAACGCCTTTTGGGGCGACTAACGGAGCGAGCGAGAGGGTGGGCCTTGCACGTGCGAAATTGCGAGGGGGACCTCCAACTGACTTGTGCACGGCACCCTACTAACCGGTCTCGAGCGATGTGCCAAATTTGGGCACAATCGGCCCAGCCGTTCTCGAGATCTGGAAGCGGCACCCTGCACGTGCGCACGTGCAAAATGGGTCCCAACTGACTTGTGCACGGCACCCTACTAACCGGTCCCTAATTGTGTACCAAATTTGAGCGCAATCGGTCGAGCCGTTCTCGAGATCTGGAAACGACCCCTGCACGTGCGCACGTGCAGCAGCACCCCAACTCTGGCACATGGATATGCAGTGCCTAGTGGGTGCGTACCTACATGCCAACTTTCAGCGCAATCGGCCAAGTAGTTACCGAGATATTGCAACAATTACAAAACTGACACCTCTTCGTTTTGCACGTGGCACGTGCATAAGGGGTCACCCACATGCATCGGGAATAGTCCAATACTTGGTAGAAGGAATGAAGCTACCCTACAAAATTTACCGCATGTAAATCGGTCAAGTGGTTGCTGAGATATAAGCCTCGCAAAAGCGTCCGCACGGCCGGCCGGCCAGCCGGCCGGCCGCTCATACTCAGAAATTTCCGTTAATCTAAGGAAAGACTACGCTCGCTTCGCTCGCTCCGTAATTATATGCTAATGGTTTGATAAGAGAAGATTTTTCATAAAAATAACGTCTTGCTACGATGCGTAATCAGTGAAACTGAAAGTCGAAATATAAGCGCGCACTAAGACGACCGTAAATGGAACAAAATTCCGTTAACGCGCTGTGACCACTGCCGCGTATGATAGCTCTCCATCATCTGGCGCTGTCAGCTGACACCTGCCACTGTTCCCAGAGATTGACACATGACAGTGTCAGTAACGTTTCTTCACCGAGTCACTGCTTGCAATCAGTATCAATAAACTGGAGCAGCGACGACAGCTATTTGTTGACGTCATTAACCCGGTCAGCTTCTCCGCAGTACCCGACATATACAGAGGCACTGCATACCGCAAATGCGCGACTCCCGTGTGACGCGCAGTGTGTGACGTGGGATGTGACGCAGCGTGTGACGCGGGGATGGGACGCCAGCCGAGTGACGGGCCCCGCCGACACGTGACGGCCCGTAACACGGCCCATCGAGAGGACATTGAGCGTGACGGCTGCTCTGATGGTGCCGTCGTCACCACGCTGCGACAACACCGTCCGGGTGACGGATTGTGGGGTCAGCCGGGGTGCAGAAGGACATGTATAGCCCACAGTCCGGGTGACGGATAGTGGGCTCAGTCGGGGTGTGGTGGTACGTCACCCACCGTCGGGGTCACAGATTCCATTCCAGTGTATTTTAGTAAACAAGGATCAAATAAATGTACAGAGCAAATAAGGGATCGGCGCAAAAGCATCGCTTAAATTAAAGCGCCTCTCCGAAGAAGAACATAAAATTGACAATGCTAACCTAACCAATACCTGAGGCCAGGGCTGGGAAATCTCTCATACTTTCATACCCCAGTAGGTAGCAGATATCGCTTTATTGTTCCATCAATTGTAGCAAAATCAACATTTCTCTCTTCCGTACATCATAAAGAAAAATACAATAAAAACATCAAAATTCGCACATTTTTAAAATAGAGGTACCACCAGCCAGTGATCTCGTCGGCGAATAAGAACAAAACATCTCTGTAAGACTAACACAAGTTCAAAACGTCAGCTTTGTGCTCCATTTTATGACGAATCTGGCGGCTCTTTGTAGCAGTTTCCATTGTAGCATCACTAATTCTTCATACTCTGAGTCGTGTAACAAAAGGTATCTGCTACGCCTTTTTATGCGCTATCTTTTTTATGAATATTGCAAAAAGGAGTTTCATTATTTGTGAAATATTCAAATTACATATTTACGAAACAAAACTAATTGTTTTTAAAGGGGCATTGTTCAATGATTAATAAAAATACGAAAAGAATCAACTCATTCTGCCCATGGCATCTCTAAAAAGCCATCTTTTATGATACAGTGCCCTGCAACGTCTTTAATCCTTTTTGATGACGTCATACACAATATTATTCAGTTTTCAATGTATTTTATTGTTAAAATCATACTAATTTGAACCATTTAGAGTTTGAAAGGACTAATAAACATTTTTTGTAAGTTTCATTAAGAAATTTTGTCAAAAATATGCATATTACGTCATTGCTGTTTGTGTATTTTGTTGATGCATTGTTTCTGGCGCATTAGAGACAATTCTAGTTGTCGTTTCGCGTGGGGTAGTTCAGTTGAGTTTGATGAGTGTTTCTGGGTGTTTTTGAATTATTTCAGCTATTTTAGCTTTTATTTTGCCTCTATTTTAGGAAAGTGGGATATTCCAGGCCTAATTTCAAGTGTTGCAATGACAACTGTCCCTAAAGCGGCGTGCCGTACACAGTTAAAGAGCAAGGTAGCCGCCCAGCACGCAAAGCAAGATGTGTGAAGATATAGGGAGATACCTATGATCGAATTTGCGCAGAAGGTGAGATCTGATTTAAATATTGATCAAGTAACGCCCAGAAAAGAATTTTTTATTTACTTCTTTACATGTTCAATTATTGTATTAACTCTAGACCTTGATTGGTGGCAACTGGCATCTTTTGTACAGCAGGTTCGGCATGCACACAATGATTGTAAATTGTTGACCAGACTGAGCAGCCAAATCAATCTGATTTCTTTCAAATACTTTCTGCCTGAGTAGGCTGATACCATCTGAATCCTGAAGCTGCTGGAATGCTGATAGGAAAATTATAGGGATCACTGGAGCTCTCTGGTGCTCTCAGGTGGTGCTGGAACTTGCCCTGAGAAAGCCCTACAGCACCTTATTTTGATATTTGCATGCTTTTTCTAAACCTGAGTAGTGAGTACCTACAAAGAGTAAAAAATAAGAAAAAGAACATTAACAGGGGGCATAAGCAAGACACTGTATCTGTTTTTGTTTGTGCAACCAACTAAATAAAAACATTTAAAGCTCAATTTGAGAATAGATAGAAAATGAAAGTGGAAAGCTCTGTCCAGAATTTTGATTACTTGTAAAATCATTTTCTAGCAGAAATGATGTGAGGAACATTTGTGGCAATGTAGCTAATAAAGAGTTTCTCGTATTATCTGGTATGTAGCAGATTCAGCATTTTTCCCAGCCCTGCCTGAGGCCAGACGACGCTAGCCCCGCCAGCAACCCTCCGAGCAACAAACGAACCGGGTCAAGGCGCCCGGGCCCGAGCGACAGCAGCTAGGCCAGCGTGCTTGGGTGTGAGTGGGTTACCTAGTGTTGGGTGTTAAATATACGTATACAGATACGTATATATAATATACAGATACGTAGTGGGGTGGCAAGAGGACAAGTCGCCTTCCGTCGCGGTGACAGATAGGGGTCAGTCGGGGACCGAGAGGATGGAAAGTCGTCCACCGGCCCGAGACGGCGATGGAGAAGGAATGTTTGGTGATTCAGAGTGAAGTGCGGCGAAGAACGAGCTCGGCCACGTCGCATGATAGTCAGTTGAAGCCCGAAATGCGATTGATTTAGCGTGATGAAGCCGTTCAGGCCCTTTGCCGTTCGACGTCTTCACTTTTGCCGATGATTGATTATCTTCGTCCAAAAATATCGAAAAATAAAAATGATCATATCCGTTCTGATATCCTGCAATTCCAGCTAATGCTGTCAGCTGTCCGTGCGTTCACCCCTGCGACTTACTTGGGGTGTGAGGAGGTGCAGGGCCCCGGCGACGCTTCCGACTGGGTGGGCGAGCCGACGCCGCCGTCCGGGGGACTCGGATGAGAGCGCGGCGACCCCTCGGAGGAGCCATCGGTCTCGTACGACATCCTGACGGCGCCGCCGCTGACGCCGCTGCTGCTCGACACCTCACCGACGGGCCGCATTCATGCTGAAACGCACAACAGCACAGCCGTCACATAGGGGCCATAGGTCAAAGGTCAGAGGTCAGGTCATCATCAGTCGGGGTATATATGCAGTATGCAACATGTCAGGAGTGCGTGCCATATTAACAAGAAGGTTCTAGAAACAGGATCCTTTGCAAGCAGTTGCATTTTAAGTTTTAACGTCAGTACAGGTTCAAAGGAGGACTAGATGGATGAGAGTACCAACATGTCGATCAGCATCACCAGTATATGATCAGTAGGTAAGCAGTTGGGAACTCAGTTACCGATTTTCCTAGTTTCGTTTCCGGGTGGTGCCACAGTGAAGTAAATTCAGCTTGCCTGAAGACATACCCAATGCCCTTGCCAGGCGCTTTTTGCAGTGCATCCCTATTGTTTTCGCTGCGATCGTATCGCTTTAATACCACGTTAGTTGTTTCGCTCCTACGAAACAGTCGCAAGGAATTATAGTGGGCGAATGGTGAGCCTATGATGCGGAGATCCGACCGAAGCTGCACGGAAAAACGAAAGCAAAGGAAAGTTCGGGTAGAAACCATCCGTGCACAACCAAGCAGCCACAGCACTGCCGCTTCCAGGTATGCAAGAACAATAGCCCACCAGATGTTTGCTCTAGGATGTATTGATTGACGTAGTTGAGGTTTTTCCGTGCTACTGATAGTGGACCAGCCATAGATATCCAGTTCAACGCGCAGATGTATGCTATTTAAGATACTCCTATACAGAGCTGATCGACTTAGTTTGAAGGACAATATGGCCACGAATCTCATCGTGCGGTAATTTTTGGGTATAGGTAGTTCCGCCCTACTCGGTTGCGTGCGTTCAGCATTGAGGAAAACTGGCCTAAATATGCATCCCATTACAGTAATAACCACGTCGCTTTCAGGATAGACAGCTGTCCTGTGCCAACGCTATTGTATTATTTTCACTGTCCTATTAGGCCAGACACGCACCGAATTGTATCTTCATGAAATGTGGATTTCGACAAAGCCATACTTGTGCGCTCCTCATCAATCTTGCATAGATGCAGGACGAGAAAATATCAGCTTATCCCAAAATGCTTTTGATAAGAAATTCTTCAAAGTGAAAGATATACATACGTTCGATGATAATTCATGGAGTGAATCGTCAACATCACTGATTTACGAGTAGTGTCCTTGGTTCATCCAATGATATATTATTGCATTATCACACTAGATTACTTAGAAATCATTGTTTACGAGTGGAAACGATACTTTGAGTTGACAACGGACAATCACTCTTAGCCACCTGACAAGCTCGGTGCTTCACAATAGGATATGAAAAATAAATAATTGTTTTGCACTATCATCCACCTGCTTTTCTATCTTGTCACGTAATCTGTTGGAAAGTCCAAACATTTTTGGAAAGGAATGCTACAAATATTTCTACACAGTGCATTGGAGCTCATAGGCACTCATACCAAGCACCGGCAGCACGACACGTTGAACCATCGCCACTGGACCAGCGCCCCTCTCCGTTTGGCTCCACATCCTGACGCGCAGTACTGCCCAGCCACTCCCTCCCATCTAACGCACAGCACAGCCGGGCCGCCGGTCACCCCGAGGTCGCCCCTCTCCTGGCTGTCCAGCGGACAACCCTCCCCTGAGTTGTGAGGGGACCGCTAGGCAGAATTGACCGGTCCGCGCCCACCCCATGACTAGCTCGGCGCGCACGCTGCCGCCGTAGGCGATAGATCACCGGCGTATAACCGTACATTCGCTCTGGCGCGTCCAGGGCCCTCAGGCGGAGCACGTAATTCCTATTACATTATTTCGTTTTATCGGGTAGTCATGAGCGTGGGTCAGTCGACTGCTCGACCGGGTCAGCCAGCAACACGACCGAGGTCAGAGCCGCAAACGAATTGCCGCGGCCATCATCGACCCACAGCCGTCCGTGGAATGAACGTCGGCTATTCTCCGTGGCGCTGTGAACATCATCTGCATGCCGGAAAACACGCTCAAATTATAAATGGTTGCTGAATTAAGACAAGTTGTCTCGAGTACAGAACAGTTAGGATGATAGCCTGGCGCGATCGTGAGAGGCAAGATGTTGAACATCTGCAGCCGAGTCGGCTCTAGCCCTCGCATGTGTGCGGCGTTTGCCAGCTTCTAATGTGTAGGGGGGGGGTCGTTTGGACCCCCCCCCCCCTTGCCGTTTGGCCCCTGATCGAGCTAGAGCTTCGCGGAAAAAACGAGCGTGTTGCCCGTGACGAGAGGAAGCCGATGATACCCAATTTTAAGGTCCTAGGTCATTGGGTGACCTTCCAGGTCAGGTCAATGACCCAAAGTCGGGAAAATCGGGACCTGTTAGAAAGTCGTAAAGTGTGGCTGCTAAGGGGTTTTTCGGGGTGCTGATCACGAATTTCGTGTTAGTTTTGATCACAGATGATGTCTTTAAGCATTTAGACCAGGTCGGGTCAGGTCAGGTCAGGTCAACCAGTAGGCATCGTGACGGGTATTCGTAGTACGTGTCAACCGCCTCTGACAGCTTCGTAACATGTTACGAAGGCACCAAAACTACTTCGTAAATGTTCAAATGGTTGCTAAATTCGAATTCAGCTCCAAAAACTAGCCTAGAAACATGTACAGCTCGAAAAAGTGAACCGAGGTCACCCGAGGTCACCAAAGGTCAATGACCTGACCTGACCTTCAGGTGACCTTGACACCCACCCTAATGCATGGAAGCAACATCAAATCACATGTTTGAACGTTTGAAACCACGAAAAGCTTGCAAACGCGCGGCTAATGCGAGCCGACATACGCAGAATCGCGATTCCGGCCAAACATGGTCTCGGAAAAGAGGTCACAGGTCAAAGGTCATTTGGGTCAGGGTCATGAAATTTTCAGGATAGGTGTAAAATTGATCAATGTGAGGGTACTGAAAGTTTCGTCGCGATCGGCCGCTTTTTACGCGAGTTATTCGCGAAAAACCATGGGGGGTCCATCCGACCCCCCCTACACATGCGAGGGCTAGACCAGCCAGTCTATATAAACTTCAAATGACTAGAAAACGGTGAAAACGGTCTCAAACTCGCCCACGACAAGCCCTACCGAATGGTTGCAATGAGGCAGCTTCAAGGGAAACGTAAAATTGGCGGTTTGAATGGAGGCAAATCGTCTTTAGAGCCATGGAATGATCCAATGATCTGTTCGTCCTCAGCATCAGCTAGGCTGACGCTGACGCTATACAGAAATACAGATGCCTTGGGAGCAGTGTTCGCCACGGGCCGGGCCAGCCCAACGGGCCATGGGCCGGGCTGGGCTACGGGCTGGGCCGGGCCCCCAAATATCATTAGTTAACGGGCTATGGACGGGCCGGGCCAAGAGCTTTGTGCACTATGGGTTTTGCGACTGATGTCAATTTAAGAAAATTTGGAAACTGAATCACTGATGCAAACAAAACCCACTGGGAAAATACAAAAACTAAACCAAATTTAAGCAATGTGAAAGAAAACCTACTTGATATTGAATTTTGGGAATCTTGAGAATTATCCAATATCACATCATGTCACACATAGGAGGGTTTTCATAAAAATTCCGCAACCAAAAAGATCAGAGAATCTCTAGCATCATTAGTTAGTTAATAAAAGTTAAAATGTAGTCATCAGAATAACTTACTTAGCACTACAACTCAAAAAACTAAGAAGCCACTCAACAATGATGAGCTACAGGGCTACATTAAGTTTAACACTTATATATGGCGATAGTGAGACAATTCCAACACAGTTTTTTTTCCTTCACCGACGGCTTTTTAACGAACAGAACCTTAAAAGGATACTCACAAAACACACTGTAAGTAACGAGGAACTCTACAGAGTATTTCGCGATGAAAGCTTCTTTAAATGTCCATAAATTTGTCAAAATAAATCACAACAAACCAGCCCCTTCTCAACAAAATTTGCAATCATGGCGGCGGCGCTATGTTTATGTGGCGGCATCTAGGTAGTATACACAACAGTATATCAAATAAATACGTTTTTTAAGTAAGTATCAAGGTGAAAAACAAAATTAAACAAATAAAAAATAAAATCTAAATCACGAAGTCTGAAAACTCGAACGAAAAACAAAACAAAAACTTGATCATATATGTTTTATTATACAGTTGGTCAGAATCGCTACCTGCCGCAGCTGCGTCAATCAAGAAGTGTTCGCTCATTTTCGATTGATGGTGATGATGCGTATAAGTCGCAAAAGTACCCAATGACATTTCAAGCTTACCATGTTTTCTGCTTACGCTGCTAGCGATATCCATATCTTGAAAAGAGCCTAACATAAAATAGCAAGGAAAGTAGCAGATAGTTGTCCACAGAGATTCGGTTGACACGTGGGCATGAATTGAAAATAGATTAAATCAGTTTTGCTGATAAATGGATGGATTTTCTCTTTTTTTGGAAGACAGTGCTAAAGTTAGTGTCACCTATTTTGTATGCTTTCTCAGGCTTTTGATATTGCAGCATCTATGGAGTGAATTTAACAGCAAGGTCAATCCCAGACAGATTCATCTAACTTTACTCATAGAATGTAGTTAATATAATCATGTAAACTTTTTATAGGTGTGTAATCATGACCTAATTGACTGAGGTGCTTGCTGTTACTGTTAAAATTTGTGCCATAGGTGCTTGAAATGATTATATTCATTGAAAAGAAGGGGGTCATGATTGCCATGTTAATATTCATGCAATTTGAATTGTTCTCAAAATAGTGTAATCAATCATGCTTATTATAGCAATAGACTAAGACAATAACTAGATTGCTATTTTTGACGGGCCGGGCCGGGCTGGGCTTGGAATATTTGCCAAGAGCGGGCTACGGGCTGGGCCGGGCTCTGAACCCATGGGCCCGGGCCGGGCTGGGCTGGGGATTTTGGGGCCCGTGGCGAACACTGCTTGGGAGCATGCAATCATTTTAGTTTACTAACTCAGTTTGTTCCATTGCTTCGCTTCATTTCGACATCCGCTGTAGCAATGGCG